GTTGAGTTAATTACCTTTTTATTGTTGAGTTATAAGAGTTCTTTATATAATGTAGATACAAGACTGTAATTAGATATATGAACAGCAAATATCCCCCCCACCCCCGCTATGTGGGTTATCAATTTAATTTTCTTGATAGTGTTCTTGAAATACAAAGGTTGTGTTTTTTTTTTAATTTTGATACTGTCCCATTTATTTTCTTTCTTTTGGCGTCATATCTGAGAAATATTGTCTAAATTAAGGTCATCAGAATTTTCTCCTACATGTCTTTTTAAGAGATCATAGTTTTATCTTTTACATTTAGATCTTTGATTTATTTTGTGTTACTTTTTGTATATGGTATGAGGAAACAGTCCAAACTTATTTTTTTGCACATACAGATGTCCTAGATACACTTTGAATATCCAGTTGTTGTAGCAACATTTGTTGAAAAGAATAGTCTTTCACCAAGTGCATAAATGGAGGGTTTGCTTCTGGGCTCTCAGTTCCATTCCATTGCTTTGTATGTTTAAACTTATTAACCTTATCATCCTATTTCTATGACTTAATAGTAAATTTTGATATTGGGAATCATCCAATTGTGTCATTACTTTTCAAGACTTTTTGGCTATCTTTGGCCCCCTGAATTTCCATATGATTTTTAAGAAGAGCTTTGTAATTTCTTCATTTAAAAATAAACTGGAATTGTATATATAATTTTAAAAAATTCATTATTAATTTTATTACATACACATCCCACCCCAATACTGAATCTCTTTCTTAAATTTTACATAGATTTATACTGAATAGAGTTACCATAATGGCTTAGCAGTTATGAAAGAAATTGGATTTGGTGTAGGTAGCTCCGAATGCTCAGGCAGAGCACAAGAGCATGTAATTAACAATCTAATAGATAGGAAAGGAAATGGTTGAAATAGGTAAGTGTGGGAACAGTGCTCCAAAAAAAAGAACATAGCACGTGCTGACACAGGGATGTGCGGGAATTCTGTTCCGTGTTTTCAGAAAGCTGTGAGTACTCACTGGAACTCTATGTTAGGTTTGATGATACAAAGTGAGTCAAGAAGTAAACGATGAGGAGATTATGAATCACAATTACTCATATGTCTATATGTTCACATTTTAAAGACTTTCAAATTCTATCTCAGAAAATGTAATCATACTAGTAAATAAGTATCCAAAATCTGAATAATGCCAGAATGAATTAGTAAATCTCTTTAACTCTGAAAAGAAGTGATATATGAGATATGGTTGGTAAGAAAATCATTACATGGAAAACCAAACATTTAGTTTCAAAGCATTGTGAGAGAGGGGGAATGATGTCACATTACAAGGAACAGATATTTTTATCCTGTTGGTAGGTGCCCCAACATAACCAGTAGACTGAACTGATTAGAACTAAAAAGTACCAGCTCCCATGGATTACCTCCTTCATTTTACAGATTAGGTAGCTGAAACTCAGAGATATTTTGGAACTCCAGAGTTCCTGATGTCATATTCGGTGAATATATAT